TATGCAGAAAATTCACCATTCTTCGACAAAACGAATAAGAAAGTCATTGGAAAATTCAAAGATGAAGCATCCGGAGTTCGTCGGCTTAAGATCAACGTTTCGTTGATTGATTTTTGATTTTACAAATTAGCTGATTGACATTTGATTTTGGCCTTGATTGACAGTCGATGGCGCAATCGTCTTAGTAGGTTTACCTTGAAATCAAATGACGCGTTTTTCAGTTGTGAAAGAGAAGGTACTGTTCCTCGCCAGCTAACCTGCAGTTTTTCTGCTGATCCGTTTCTCTCCCGTTTCGCTGAAGTAATTTCTGACTGGATAACGCCGCTAAGTAGGAAATTTGTTTTGTAACCAGTTTGATTTTCAATCTTGTAATTTCGTATTTTCCGCATGTAATTTCATGAATCGCTTGCTGTTAGATTTCCTAAGAATTATGTATTGTCTCTCACAGATCGAATAAAATCAAAGAAAGAAATATACGATTCATATCCAGTCAACTACTCGATAGCCACTTTATCCCCGGACCAATCAAATATGTAAAGGTACATGAAAGAAAATAAAAGGATGTAAAACTGCCAAAGGCATCAAGAAGAATGTTATCAGAAAAGACATCAAACACTTTGATAATAAAAATACATTATTCAACAACGATTTATCGTAAAATGAGAATATCGGAAGCGTTAATCATCAACTTGGTAGCTACGAACTAAACAAAGTGTCGATGTCTTGCTTCGATGACAAGCGTTATGATGGACACTACCAAACACAGAATTAACCTTTTCGAGTAAACTTTACCTTAAAAATAAATTTCACAAATAGAACAGATTTCCACCATTTGTGTAGACAAAATGTGAAGCTTAAGATTGGTTAAAAAATCAGACCATCAATGACTCAAATCTATGGGAAAGTCCCTGTCGTATTGCATCATCGACTTGCTGTTTGAATGACGTCAACGCGTGGGAAAATGTCAATTTTCTTCTAACTACTATTTCTTAGAATCCAACTGTCCGTAATTTTCTCGGAATTCATTCTCTTTCAATATAATATAACTGTATGATCGTATTTTGTGTTGGCGTGACATGAAAACATCGAACATCTCTCTTCAATATATTATAACCATTTTGTATGTGACGACGTGACATGGAAACATCAGACAGAAAATATGCCATGAGATTTACTAGAATTTAATAACATATTTTTTCAGGAAATTATTCAGTATACTTTAACCATTTTATGAGGGCATTTCACGTTCGCGTGACATGGTGACATCGAACATCACCCAGTAGAATAGTAGTTGGGTGGTTGGTGCGCAGTTTTTGTGAAAATGCGCTCTCACCCCCAACGGCGATGCTACCGCTAAAAACACCTTCCTTAGAACTATAGCATATCCTATCTATCAAACATTTAAAGTAGCACCCGCGCTCTCATTTGTTGATAAGTGTTTAATTTGTATTGTCGAATTAATTATTTTTGATGTATTTTTGATGTATTTTATAGAAGCATTTTTAACAGAGCTCTCGAAAGTCATGCAAACGTTCGACTGCGTCTCTTCTTGAATCAATGAGGCCATGTAAACACGGCAAAAATTCCTTTTGCTTAAATAAGAAAAGTAATAATACTTCTTTGGTATCCTATCCCTTTGTTACTTACCCCCAACTGCTATGCTACTGCAGAGAGGTTCCCAACAGGGAAAAACACCCATCTTAGAACAATGGCATATCCTATTTATAACGTATTTAAAGTAGCACCCATACTCTCCTTTGTTGATAAGTGTGTTTAATCTGTACTGTCGCTTAATCTTCATTTGTCGAATTAATTATTTTTGAGATGTATTTTATAAAAGCAGTTCTAACAGAGCTCTCGAAAGTCATGCAAACGTTCGACTGCGTCACCTCTTGAATCAATGAGGCCATTTAAACATGGAAAAATTCCTTTTGCTTAAATAAGAAAAGCAATAATACTTCTTTTGTGTCCTATCCCTTTGTGCGTTTCGAATTTGTTTTCTCTTAATGAGATTGAAAACAGAGAGATCAATTATGAGATAGGTTTGTTTTCGTTTTCCGAGACACCTGTGGGTTTTTTCCCAGCATTTTAAACGCTTACGAAGCATACATAAAGGCCAATTTACTTTATCAACTCAGTTGATATTACTTCTTGACCTTGTTATACTCTCCCACCGTCGCAGCACTACAGTTTCTCCAGAAACTTATACCCTTTATATTGCGAAACCGCTTACAAATCCGTTTCCAAACACAGC